CAGTCAAGGGGATGGAGCTCTGGAAGGAGCACTGGGTTGCACTACCAAGGAGTTGCGCCGCCAATGAGTTGACCCGCTCTTTTGCAGGGGCTTCCCCGTCAAGGTGCAGTTGCAGCTAGCTCGGCGTGAGCCTCCAACCCGAACGGCCCTGGAGGAAGGCTACGCGGCTACGCGACGCCGTGCACGTTCAAAAGGGCAGTGGTTAAGTAGCCACGCCATGCCACGCCTGGGCAACAAAAAAGTCTTCTTCAGGCCAGGATTGACGAGAACATTCCAAGAGCTCCTGCGCCAAAAAAGGGCATTTTTGCAGAGAGACATTTTCGGGGCACAACATGTCGATTGAATGTATGTTTTACTTCGGCGCTACAGTTGGGATTGACCCTCACGACTCGACATCAAAATTTGCCTTCTGGGAGTGCTTCGGGGTACAACATGCTTAAGGTCGGTGTGACTTCAGATTCCAAGCTCTCCAGTGCACGGTGACGTTTTTTAAATATATGGGGGCCCGGCCAGCTGCACTGGCCGCAGAGGTAGTATAAAATATCTGTATTAATCCATATGTTTAAATCCCAGTATGACGTGATCTAGCCTTCAGTCTTAAAAAGGTGAAGGCTAGAATGCTGGAGGGTTGAAGGCTGGAAGGGGTTTAGGGCTTGAGGGGTTGAAGGCTGGCCTTCCAGCCTCCAGCCTTCCAGCCCTCCAGCCCTCAGCCTTCCAGCCCTCCACCCTCCAGCCCTCCAGCCCTCCAGCCTTCCAGCCTAGCAGCCCTTCAGCCTTCCAGCCTTCCAGCCTTCCAGCCTCCCAGCCTTCCAGCCTTCCAGCCTTCAGCCCCAGCAGCCCTCCAGCCTTCCAGCCTTCCTCCCGGCCCTCCACCCTTCCGACCTTCCAGGTTTCCAAGGTTGGAAGGCTGGAGGAAGGTGGGAAGGTTGGAGGAAGGGTGGAAGGCTGGAAGGCTGGAGGGCCGGAGGGCTGGAGGCTGGAAGGCTGGAGGGCTGGCTGGAAAACTGGAAGGCTGGAGGGCTGGGGAGCTGGAAGAGGGGGGCTTGAAAACTGGAAGGTTTGAAGGCTGGAGGGCTGGAGGGCAAAGCTGGAGGGCTGGGTCTGGAAAATTGGACTGGAGGGCTGGAGGGTTGGGCTGGGAAGGCTGGGCTGGAGGAAGGCTGGAAGGCTTGAGGCTGGAGGGCTGGGTTGGTTTGGCTTGAACCTAAAGCTGAAAGCTTAGGCTTCTACCTGAACCCTACACCCTTAAACCCTAAACCCAAAATCCTAAACCCCAAACCCACCAATCCGTAGCCATTTTGGCTCAAGAGCTGCACCTCAAGTTCAACCCGCAAACTGTACCCCGCCGTGCAACGCTTGTAGGGTTTCGTAACTCGCGTGTTCTGTTGACTGGACTGCAGGGGATATGTGTGAACAGGGATGATTGCACCCTCGGTAACCCGAAGCCTTGAAAAGCTAGCGTGATAAATCGCAGAGATTCCAGATGTCCTTGTTTCAGGGTCTGCATTGAATGCAATAACTGGACTCGAGCCTCGGCCACTCGAGAGAGTCCCTCTCCGATCTTCACGAAGACGACTCCGAAGAGGCCGGACATCCTGGTGGTTCTCGCTTCGCGACCACGCCCAGCTTCGTCTGGGTGGGAGCTGGGACCTTCCCTACCCTTCCTGTCCTCCCCTTCGTCGAGCCTGCCTAAAGGGACAATTGATAAAGTATCTCCTGCTATACTGGGGTTTCCGTGCGCTTCGGGTTTCCTAGTCCTGTCTCTCCCGACTCGGGGTCTAGAAACCACCACCCCACGCAAGCGACAGCCATGGCCGACTTTGTGTGCAGCCACTTGCATATCTGCATAGGGACCCAAGCCCGAGGGGGTGCCTCTCAACTGGAGGACTATGCGATGATTGCGCAGACTGCATATATTGATGCATGGGTGGTAGGAGAGGTCTGGCACATGGAACGCACTCAGCCCGACCACGCATGGATCTGGAAGATGAGTACACTATTGAAACCTGCTTGAATTTGTGCTGCACATTGAGGCTCGGAGAGGCAAGACCACTTCATGAGTCTGGCACACATGCGTGTGTTCTTCAGTTTCGTGGATGCTGGCATGATTGCCCCGAGGTCAGTAACACTCACAAGATTGCATGTCCAGTGATGCGATTGACACGGGTGTGTGCGAATTTGCTGTAGAAATGGTGAGGGCCCTGGCACATTGAATGCATTTGAACTTCCACTGCGCAGGTCAACATGAGGGAGGTAGTAGTCCTGCGAGGATGTGAGGCTTGCTGGGATGCTCGGGACACCGAGGGTTATCACGCAAAGCGCTGGTTGTGGGGCGTATGTGCGCACACTGCAAACAGGTGGCAATGGCGCAATCTGTGAGGTTGCATTGAGAGTTTGGGAATTTACTGCTATGGAATTTGTTGCAGGTGCATGCAGGGGGTGAGGATGTGGATGCTGGCATGATTGCCCCGAGGTCAGTAACACTCACAGGATTGCATGTCCTGTGATGCGACTGACACGGGTGTGTGCGAATTTGCTGCAGAAATGGTGAGGGCCCTGGCACATTGAATGCATTTGAGCTGCCGCTGCGTAAGTCAACAAGAGGGAGGTATTAGGCCTGCGAGGATGTGAGGCTTGCTGGGATGCTCGGGACACCGACACCTATCACGCAAAACGCTGGTTGTGGGGCGTATGGGCGCACACTGCAAACAGGTGGCAATGGCGCCATCTGTGCTGTTGCATTGAGAATTTGGGAATTACTGCTATGGCGCGATCTGTGATGCTACATTGGAAATTTGGGAATTTGGGATTTGTTGCAGATGCATGCAGGGTGTGAGGATGCCGGCAATTCAGCCAGTGACAAGTCAACCTGTGCTCTTGCAGAGAAGTGAGTGAGGTGGTAGTGGTCGACCTGAGTGGTTAGGTGGGTTTGTTAATGTTTGCCTCGGCTAATGTGCTGGGATGAGTGCCAAAGTGCTGCTGATGGGACTGGAATCCTCGCTGTGGTTTGTCCGAGAGTGAGTGCTGGAACCCACCAATCATCTGCCAATCTCCGGATATTTTATTTCGAGGCGGGCCCGGGCGATGTTTCACGGAGGTAGTGTAATATACCTGTTTAACCTATTTAAATATCCGTGTATTTAAAAACAGACGCCGTATTTTTTTAGTCATTTTGCCGTGTCTTTGTCCGTTCGGATGTTTCCTGGGTGTAAGGTTTTTTTCTGTTCAGTCGGAATAGTTGAAATCTGCTTGCCCTGCAAAAGGAAGCCGGGAAACCGTCAAACAGAATGAGCCGCTGCCCAAAATCTACAATCTGATGCCGCGACCCAAAAAAGCAACAAGACTCAATGATGAGGGATGAGGGTCGGGGGAGGCCGGGGGGAGGGAAGGAGGGAGGGAAGGAGAGGGAAGGGAGAGGCTAGAAAGGCGGAGGCGTCATTCGTTGGAGGATGAAGTAGGAAGAGCGGCTGGTGTTCATTGATGGTTTGCCCGCCGTCTGCGCCGAGGCTCCTCGAAGACATGTTCGAGGACGGCTTCGTGCCGGTGCGCAAACGCGCCAGGTCCCAAAGGTCCCGACAAATTCAAGCAGGTGGCCCAGAAGCCACACAGCACCGTTTGGCTGAGACGTCTCAGGCTTTGGAAGCTGTGGAGGCCTTGGCGCCTGTCGGCGAAAACCTCCTCAACCGCCTCAGGCCAGCGCAGACTTCAGCAGGTCGACAACTGACTTCACTCCTACTGCAGCTGTGTCTGCAGGGCTGCTATTGCTGCCGCTGCTGCGTTGCCGTTGTACCTCTACTGCTGCTGCCGCTGCTGTTGATGTTGCGCAGCATTTCTGGCTCGTACTCCTTGGTACACGGGCAGCACTCCTTAGTGCTTTAGTGCATTGCATTTGTCAGTTTGCACACGCTTTTCCGTGGGATATGTCTTGAGTATGTGTCGTTGAGTGGGATGCCGACGACGCTTGCTATGATAATGACGGCAGTGATGATTCAGTGATGATGACGATGATAATGGTACTTATGATGATGGTGGTGATGGTGATCATGATGATGCTGATGTTGCTGGTGAAGACTATGATAATATAGGATACATGATGATGACCGTCACCATCATGGTGCTGCTGGTGATGGTGATGGGATTTTTCGTTTCTTGGTTATCATTATGACCTTGATGGTGAAGACGGCAACGATGATGACTATGATGATGGTGCAGGTGATGACCACCGAGCACACGTTTCTTTGGCCGTTCTGAAGCCGCAACACAGGCTAATCGAGCCCGGCAGGTCAAAGATTTGCCCACGGACTTCTGTAGCAGCGTTCCGCACACTTCGCACTCATGTCCTCGGCTTAATGCCTCGCCCGGTGAACCGAAGCGGTGGAAACAGACGGAGCATCGCAGCCAAGCTTTCCAAAGTGGGCTGGCCTGAGACAAGAGGAAGAACAAGTTGCGTGTTACAGTATTGCACCACCACATGCCTCCATCTTCGAAACGGTGAAGATTGTTGAAACGGTCTGAGTCAAGCAATCGGCGAGGAGCTGCTCGCAGCCTTGCCAGGCTGGTGGCCCGTGAGGATGCCGATCGCGGCGTTCGCGAAGCCGCGAAGGAGACCCTGTCCAGGCCACTGAAATCACTGAAATTTCCTCACATGTCACACGCTCAGACGGCTTTGTCGCCAGGTTGGGCTAGTTTCGGCCCAAAGTCTGAGAGGCTTCTGGAGTCAAAAGGGTGTGCGAATTTCCGACATGCGCAGGTTCGTTCCGTTTTTCCTCGATGGCAGGGACTCCGGGAGCGCTGCTCACATCAGTAACACTGACGGGCTCAAGGGGCTGAAGGAAAGAACGACTTGCATCATCTTGCATCATGTTATTTCTGCAGCTTGTATAGAGAGAGGTGCACGCTATCAATATCACGCAAGATCACAGCTCACAACTGCGTTTGCAAGTATACTCAGACGGGTTGTTTTGCTGCCCGCTTAGATCGTTACGTTCAGCCCCCCAAACATGACGGGTTCGGCACCCAGAAGCACGTCCGAAGTGTTGAGCTGAGTGCCTTCTTTCGCTGTGATCTATGTCGTGTTCAAGGTCGCGTTGGTTCTGTGACAGCCGTGGGGCTGACGGATACAGCTGCCCACACGGGACCGTCGGAGCCATTGCCTGCTGGTGCTGGTCCTCCCAACCCTCCCAACCCTCCCAACCCACCCCACGCCCCTGCAGCTGGCCCTCCTTGGGCACAGGGTTATAGCCACGCATACGGGAAATATGGAAACTACGGCAACTACGGCGGCTATGGCTATGGCTACACCGCCTATGGTTACGGCATGAGCTTTGCCAAGGGCGACGAGGCCCAGACGTCCAAGCTCCTTCCCTTCCCTTGTGCTTGGTTTGCCTTCATTGGTGTTTTGGACTCTACGCTGCATGTCGTCGCCTGGCCAAGTTCGAATTGTGACTTGTAGTGGTACTTAAACTTGGTGCAGCCAGCGCAGGCACTCCGAAGGGACGTCGAAGAGCCAGTAGTGGTATGTGTCAGGTGTTTGAGAAAGAGGGCTACTTTGCTCAATGACATCTTCTCGACACCGTCAGGCGAAGGGCCGGGGCCGTGGCATGCGCGGCAAGGCCACCTCGCGGAGACCCCTTGTGATGGTCGTGTAATTTCTCGTGCCCATGGACATGCAGTTTCATTCGCACGACACAACGTTGCAGGGTTGGAAGTCGAAGGAGGGACACCGCAAGGACAGCAAGGATGCCAAGGAAGGAGAGAGAGATACGCTCGAGAAGCCCGAGAAGGTGCTGGGATGGGGGAAAAAAGTGTGGCTTTGGAAATCCGTGGCTGCTCCCAGACGTTGCGCGACCTCGATTACAGGAGGAGGAAGCAGCGCCCCGCGTCAAGGACGAGGTCTTCGAGGCCGGCAGTGAGAGACTTTGCGTCCAGGCAGCAAAAATCGATCTGCAGGAGATTCGGGCGGTGCTGAGCGTAAACGCCTGTGCCTTACCTTTCGGCATTGAGTTGCTCAGCCTCTGCCGAGCCGATAGTCATGGGATGCGAAGAAGCTGTGCCACATCCATATGCACTTCGAGGGAGGTCAAGTTCTGTTTACTTCCGGCTGCAGCCGTACAAAAACAAAGGATGTCTATGCGGTCACCTGCTCGTCAAGGGAGGTCAAGCGATCATCATGTAGTATCGGTATCGTAACACGTGAGGCAGTGTTGAGGGTGGCATTCGCAGCCCGGCTGCGCTCTGTAGCTTTACGGAAGCGCTTCAACAAAGCGTGCCATGAATTTGGAGTGATTGCAGAGCTAGTGCATTACAGTTCCGATGGTTTCATTCATGTCTTGATAATTTCCAGAGATACGCAGGGCACATGGTGCACCCACACACATTGGAAAGACTACGATCGTTGCTGATGCCAGTTACCAGCAGCAGCTTCTGTGAAAGACTCGAAAACAGGAGGACCTTGGTAACCTGATGTCAGGATCAGGATCCCAGGCATTCTCAGAGTAGAGGTACGGAGAATGAGAAGATAACTTGGGCTGATGATGTACTGATTGCATGAGTTTCTGGACTGAGGCTGCGCCCCTGCCTCAGCCGGCGCATGACCCTTTGTTTTCGAAGCCTCACAGATGCGCACGTGAGGCTGCAGCATCAGTTCTTCGACGCGCGCGTCAGGCAGTGGCTCGGCCGGCGTAGAGCTGGTTAGTGCGTCCGCCGACCAGGGCGCTGCAAAGACAGTACCCGAAGTCCGACTATCTGAGGCATCTTCACGCGCTGCACGGCTCCGGCGGACGGCGCGCGAAGAGAGCGTTGCCCTGTAACTTGTTCGGTTCGAGTCAGCTTGCAAAGCCAAGGGCCCGGCTAAAAGCCGCCTTGCAGATGGTCCACCAGTGCACCATGAACAAGACTCGCCAGGAAAGAGCCGACAATCTTGGCGTCGTGTCGTAGTTTTTCAAGTCCAGCGGCAGGACGTGAAGAATTGGCCGGCCTACTTGGTCACTCTGCTGAAGAAGTTCGATGCAGACGCCGCGCCCCAGGCCAGGATCCGAGCGCTCGCACGAGTGACGGAGCTACCGGCCCGTGTGAAGGACCGGCAGGAGCGACTGGAGGAGGGACTGAGGGACCCAAGCAGGCAAGCAGACTCGAATGCAGTTGCTCCCTGTCGTAGGAAAAGAAGGGCTTTGGCTCTGCATCCACGGCCTCTACCACTCCGGAGAAGTTGCCACCGCCACTGCCGCAGACAGGGCAGTCCTTTCAAGTGCAGAGGCTGCAGAGGTGCCAACTGCCTCGCCGAGGTCTGGTCAAGAGGCTTCTGTGGTAGAGGCGAGGTCGCAACCAGTGGCGACGCGGCGTCGATGTATGGGTGGGGAGGAGACTCTCGCCAACTTGGCCTTCCTGGAGAGCGATGACCTCAGAATTCAGAATCCATTCTTCGAATTTGCCTCGATGGGAGACCGGCTCCGTACTGCTGCACACAGCTCCAAAAAGTCGAAGCGCATTGTGGTTAGCTGCACAGGCGACTCAGAAGACGAAGAAGGTGACGAGGAGCCCCGGGAACAGAGGCCAGAGAGCAGCAATGCTGCCGAAGCTACTACAGTAGTAGCAGTTGCGGGTGAGTGCATGCGTTCGCACAACCGGTGGGTTCTCGGACGTCGGTGCCCATAGTAGGATAAGCCAGCGATCCTTCTCTCGTTACTCTCGTTCGGAGGTGGGATCTGCAGGTCCCCAGAGTTACGGCAAGCATCCCAGATTCGCATTGTTTCACACAGGAAGTGCTTGTGGTATTCCATTCTCACTTAGGCACCGCCTCCCAAGCAGCCCGAAGCTGAAAGGAATCGATGCTTGCGAGACTATCAGCGCATCTTATAAGCCTAGGCCCTACCGCGAGCCACAGGCCAGAGCCAAATGGACAAGTGTTCCGAAGTCGAGCGAAAGCCGTCAGTTCTTTCCACCGCCACCTGCGCAGTCAAGCCTCGAAATCCTCGAAGCACCAGGCTTGGAGCAGGGATGCCGTGAGCAAGTCTAAGTCTAAGTGTGTGTTTGTGAACCTTGCTTTTATCTTGGGCCGGCAGCAGGTTTTGGTGGCGAAGTCACTGAGCTGGCGACTTCAAACGGCCGGAATGCGGAGCTGGAGCTGGGTCAGAGTCGCCAGCTGGGCCAGCTGGGTCGGCTTGGACATCCAGGGCCAGGGCCCCGAGCGGCGCAGGCTGGGCCCAATGGGCCCAATCCCCATGCCGCCCCCAATGCCCTTCCAGCGGGCACGGTGGGCACTGGGCCAGCAAGCCTTTCCGTAAACGGGTTGCCTCCAGCTCATCCCTTTGCCTACCCCTTTGAGGGGCCCAAGACCAAGACAGTGCCGGGAAACATAGGCTTCGGGCTTCAGACCACCCCGACGCCAATGCCGGCAACGGCGGGTGAGCGCTTGGGGCAGTTGGGGGCGATGAGCTCTTTGAGCTCAAGGCACGAGTCCATGCCGCAGCACGGCTGCACGTGTGCCTCGAAAGCTTTCTGGCGAGAGGCTTGGCAGCGCATCCCTGCCTTGGAGTGCCGAGTGCTGAAAGATCTTCATTGGCCTCCGCCGGCCTCCGCTTTGTGCGCGCGATTCTTTCGCTGAGGCTGCAGGAGCCTCTGCGCCTCTCCCCGTGCGGCTGCCGAGATAGCAAATCGGCATTGCGAAGACCTTTCCTTCAGCCGTGTCTGTGAGGTCTCCAAGCGAGGGCAGGAGGCAAGATGTCAACGTGCTTCTGTTCTTCGATTGCATCCGACGGGAAGCAGGTCTTCGCCCGGTGATGGCCGCCCCGAAGTGGGAGGCGGCATCGATTTAGCAGCACTGTTGCACTGGAGGGCCTGTAGAGCTTGGCTGCAGGCCTGACCAGGCCTTTTGCAACAGCAGCGGTGCAATCACCACACCCTGCTTCGGTCACTTCTGAGACGGGGATTCTCAAGAGCTCAAGGAGTGGCGCTCCCGAGGAGTGGCCTCCTGAGCCTCAAACTTTTCCCCGAAACTCGTTGGCCTCCGGAGCGCAGCGCCGGATGCAGATGAGATTAGCCTAGCCGCCGCTAGCCTATGTCTATGTCTTCCAGTCTGCCGCTCCATTTACGAATCAAAGAAGCGAGACTCCCGTCGCTTACTTGTTGCTTCGGGTCTGTTGGAATTTGCATCCAGTGCTTCGATGGCCTACGCAGTGCGATTTTGCAGGAGCCGGGCGTCTGGAAGGGGAGTCGTCCGAGCGGACGAAAGCCAGAAGAAACTCACGGCGGTATGAAACAATCTCAGTGTACCTATGTCTTCGCAGGGTCTTGGTTTCTATGTTGTGCCTCGGACAACCATGAACAGCCCCTTTTCCAAGTGGCAATCCTCAGTGCATTTGACTTGTGGTCTCTGCCTACACTGCCGGGAAGGTGAATGTTAGAATATTCGAGGTGTAGTGTGAGTGAAACAGGCTCGGCGGAGGCCCTTTGTAGGTGTCAAGCTGTGGATTCCGCAGCGCCCCCTTCAGCAGACGGAGCGAAGCCTCTTGGAGTGGGAGATAAAAAGGAATACGCACTTGCCGTGGAAGGGTCGCGATGAGCCAGAAGGGTTGCAACCACAAGCGCTGTTTGCCGATTTGGAGCGTGGCTGTGGTAGAGCTCATGATTGGGGCCGTGAGCAAGCCCTTCGATCCGGCTTCGGCCTTTCTGCGCTGGCCAGGGCGCATACGAGTTGAAGAGGCTTTCAGGGCCTACGAGTCAGTGCCGGATTCAGCCGTCCGGCAAACAATCACGGATCGTTGGTGAACATGTTTCTACTCCGACTTTGCTCCTGTGGAGGTGTTGATTCGCGCAAGGTGTGCAAGCTGCGAGCACTTCGAACATGACAGTTGGAGTGCCAACAAAAACGGATTCGGGGTCCGTGAAGATAGGCTTGGACTGGGGCTCCTCGTTTCTTTGTTTCACACATGCTTACATGAAGCAGTTCGCACCCTGCATCACCCCCAAACAACTTCCACCTCCACAGAAGCAGCATATTCGCACAATCATGCCTTCAATGCTGCGCAGTTACTGGGGGTTTACAAACGATGCAGCAATTCTTACAGTAACGGTGGGTGGCCAGTGCCCTGTTTGTATACTGGTGATGTTTTGGAAGATGTGTGGGCCTGTTGTAATCTTCCGGCAGCGCCTGACTACCAAGCTGCAACTCTGAGCAATGGCAATTATGCACATTCAAGTTCTTCCCATGCCGTCGGCTGTAGCTGGCTCTTGGCTGTCGCTGTCGCAGTGCTTGAGAGACCATGCAAGACACCGAGCAGCAATCAGCAATCGCATGCTCACGAGGCGGGCACAGAACAAGATATCCAAAACAGACGGGGCGCAACACAGTGCTCCTCAGCCCTTGGCCTTGGCCAGTTGGAGCCCGTGAGCCCCCGCTGCTTGGCAGTGACCTCTTTCTGCGACTGTCAGCTCGGCCCCTGAAGTGCGGAGGACATGCGGCCGAAGCCTCCTCCACCCGCTCCTGGGCCCGCTCCTGGGCCGGCTCCGCCCCCAAATTTGACGCGCAAATCGCATCGCTTTAAGCATCGCTTCGCTTCGACCCTCCGCCAGCTTTTGGTCGCAGATGGGAGTGCGAGCGCCCCCCAAACCTACCCGAAAGCATCCCGAAACCCGGAACCCAGGCCCCGGAAGTCAAGCACATCAAATCTTAATTTGGGGTACTGAGCCATGGCACTGTGGCGGGTCCTCGGTGACAACGGTGACAAGAGTGGGGAGAGCTCCTGTGGAATTCTTGTGCGCGAGGGCCAGGAGAGACGTGGCAATCGGCAAGTTCACTTATCCTTGCCACAGTCTTTTCGTGTTAGCTGTTAGCTTCCCTCCGTCGCCTCCTTGCAGTGCAGTCCTTTCCAGGGCCTCCAGACTCCCGTCCTCGGGCGCCTCAGCTTCGGTGCCGTCGTTTCGGCGCTAGTAGTGGCCCCAGCCCGCATGAAGCTCTGACGGCTGTCTGACTCACGCTCTCCTTCCACTTCTCTTTCTAGTTTGCTCGCTTTGTTTCATCTTGAGGCAGATAGCTCGAGCTCGAGCGGGGCAGCACCCTCCCGGCTTCGCTATCGGCTGCTGAGAGGAAAAGGCCCCAAGGAGGGCTGGGTCTCCATCCGATGCAAAGGCAAAGCCCTACTGGCAGAAGCGGACCGTCCGGATCTGGATCCTGAGAAGTCCACGCCGTTTCCGGCCATCGGATTGGAAAAGCCGAACCTCGGAGCTGCAAGCGGCTGGGCCTCCTGGCACGGCTTCAAGCGCACTCCGGCCTAGAAAAGAGAGAGAGACAGAGACTCTTGTCCGAGTGCAAGCAATGCAAGCAAGAGAGAGAGAGAGAGAGAGAGAGAGAGAGATGACCCTGGCGAAAGAGAGAGAGATGACCGTACAGCACTCGGTGGTTGTTGCTTCAGTGTTGTTTGATGGGGAAAGTAAAGTCAGTCCACTGCAACTACTGGCGGGATGCGTCTGTCCAAACGATCCCAGACGACCCCAAAGCCTCTTTCACCATTATAGGGCCACAAGCTGCCTCAACCCATCTTCCCGATGCTGCTCTTCTCCGCAATGCACACGCAGATCCTTAGACAGCGCTGGCGGGCTGTCCCACCGATCTCTTCCCGCACCGCTTCTTGATTCGCTCGGCAGACCTTTTTCCAGGTCTCCATTTCTCGCTCTCGAGCTTCCCGTGCTACCTGCACCGTACGCTCTTCTGCCGCGAGCTCCACGTTCACAGTGGACTCCGGAACCCGCATGTCCAACTCAGTGGCCGCGGAGAGGCGCGCTAACACAACCTTCTCCCACCCTACCTTTCGCCCTTGGAAGGTGAACAAGATCCTTCCTGGGACCCTGAGCCGCCCTTCTTCCTTGAGTGCTCCTACTTCGTAGTTCCACTTTTCCTCGGACTTCTCACACCCGGGTCTCCTTCCACTCGCTCCCAATGCACTGCCTGAGCTGGAAAGTAGTGCATCAGGAAGTGGAAGAGCAAAGACGAGGTCTGCCTAGTCCGATCTTCCCGTTCATCAAAAGTTCCTCGGTCCCTTGGTAGAAGGTCCCAGGCGAGAGATGTGGGAGCATTCGGGCTCTTGCATGTGTGGGGGACGGACTATGTTGTTTGGGCAGTGTTCCCGCTGCATGAAGGAGGAAGAGAAGGAGTTGAACCGAGTTGAGAAGGAGAGCGAGGGAAGTTCTGCCTTGGCCGTCTCCGGTCTGAAGTTGCGAACCCCAAGTGGCCGATCACTCTCTACTCCGAGGAGTTGCGACGGTTTGTGGGGGATCCCGGGGATGACTTTTGGAGGGCGAGTTGGGAGAGTCTGTGCCATCACCTGGATGCGTTGAGCGAAGTGGGAAGACGACCGGACCCCTTCAATACGGAAGCCTTGAGCTTGAGCGCTGTGGCGAACTCCATAATCTCCTTTCTCGAAGGAGTTCCTGGTTGGACCACCGCAAGAAGTGGCACATCAGAGATCGGGCACGGCTCCAGGAGCTCCGGACAAGCCTCCGGAAGCAAGTCCGTTCCGGGTTTCGCCGTCCCCAGTCGAGGTCTCTCCGCGACCAGAAGCTTCAAGGAGCCCCAACCCACGTTCCGAGCGAGCAGCACGTTCTCCACAGCTGTTGGCTTGGCCAGAACCGCAGCAACGGCTCCTTCTTGGCCTTCGCCTATTGCGAAAGCCGGCTTGTGGAACGCTATGTCCCTCAAGACTTTCACTAAAGACGTCAACCCGAGTCGCATTGGCGAGCTTCCTTCCCGTCAGGTTCGCCTTCCCTTGCCGCTCAAAGTGGGCCAAATTCCCTTCGAAGTCTTCGAACGGAATCCCAACTTCCCCCGAACGAGTCGCGCCAACCGCGCATCAAGCTCGAAGTCATGGTCATCCGCTCCGACGGTCTACACTGGCCTGGCACGTACAGCACCTTCAAAGTATGGGCACTACACCTGACGCCCCCCTCATCAATCCCGCTAACACTGCCTTGCTGATCTCTGCGGGCTCTCCCTGCGCGCCAAGGGGCGGACTCACCACTCCTTGGCTGCGGCAGGCGAGCGGCAGACTCTGCAGCTTCAGCCGCATCCGACAGAAACGAGCAAGGGGTCAGTCTTCCTTCACCTTTGTCGTCCAAGTACTCTCCCAGAGAGAAACCTTTCAACTGGCCTACTAAACCCTCCACGTCTCGCGTCCTCTGGGCCAAGCCAAAAGTCACGATTCTCTGGTTTCCGAGAGCCCGTCCGCCAACTTCGCGGATCTGCCAGAGAGTGACCGAAGTTGACTCCCGTCCGCTAGGAGTCCGGAGAGCCCCCCCAGGTGTTTCGGCTCTATCTAGCGTGATCAGTCCACAGGATGGACCTCACCGGTCCTATCCAGCTCGATTTGTGTCGAGTTGTGCGTACCCTTCGACTGAGTGGCGCCCAAGCTTGTTGAGCGGGAGTTAACCCGCGGCTATGAGTAGTCAGGATCTCCAACGGCGTACTCATGCGAAAACCGACACAAGTCGCCATGCTTGCAGGATCCGTGGTCTTGCATATTGAAGCAGACTTTCTGTCCGGCGCCAAGAGGTTTCTGGGCATTGACGGCATCAAGCTGCCTCTGCTCCTTCTGGGCCTTTTCGAGCCTCTCAGCCTTTGCCAACAACTTCTTCTGCGTCGAGGTTAACCCCGCGCCCGGAGACGGATTTCCGTCCTCCGAGCCGCGAATGTCGCTCGCATCCTGAAGCGCATAGACTCGCATTCCTTGAGCACGTCGTGAACTTCCTCGCAGGTGGCACAGGTTCTCAACGTAGTGCCGCCCGAGCCGTCGCTTCGGTACTTCTTGTCCCGTCGAATCTCACGCGCTGGACAACTGATCCCAAGCCTCCAAAACCCGCGACTCACGCTCCTCCTGAGTTTCCGAGAGCATAAGGTGCTTCGTCTTGATCTCCTGGTAAGCCCGCCCCTGATCCGACTTCACCGTTCCGTTGCTCAGCGCGCGTTTGCAGAGCAGGTCGTAGGACTTCAATCGATGTTGCCGCAAACACGCTCGGAGTGTAATCATAATCAGCACTTCAAGGTCTGACATTCCCTGCCCGTCATTCGCCAGGTGAGCGGTGGACTCAAACTGGTCATAGAAGTCCGTTACGGACTTGTGGTCCGTGAAATCGTCATCCGACAGGCCACGTAACATTCGGAAAGATCTGGATAAGAGAGCGGGATTTTTGACTCCCGGTTCCTTGACTTCTCCAGAGCTTCCGCCGTAGCCTTGGTCCTGGTCTACTCCGTGCTCCGCTCCTGTAGGCGAAGACGGCCCAGCCAAGACTCCACTTAGGGAGGGCACTGCCTCCGGCCTTCTTAGCAGTCGCCACTTCCAAACTTCCGAAACCTTCTGACACACTGGGTTTCGGAACTTCCTCTGCAGGGGAAGGCTCAGAGCTGCTGGAAAGCTTCTCCTTTGTTCTCCACCATCGTGAGGAGTGTAGAGAGAGACGCACTTCTCTCTCCTCCTCACCTTCCGCGCCATCCACAAGCTCTTGTGCGAACCGCATCCTAAGATGCCGCAACCGTTCTTCTGGGCTAAGGCTCTTGAGGCTATCCTGGTAACTCAGCCCTGGCATTGAGGACCGCTATCTCCGTCGCGTCAACAAACTCACCACTCATCTCCAAAGCCTCAGCCACTCGAGTTACTCGCTTCTGGTGACTGCTATCCAAGCTCTCCATGCTCGGTTCGAACGGTTCCGCCAGTTTCGTTCAGTTGGTCAACTACCGTACGGCCACCCGAAGCTACGGAAACAGCTCCGGAAACGGTTGCAGCTCCCGGCAAGCTCCGCAAACACTCTCTACAAGCTCTCGGCCGGGCGACCGCGAAGGATCCGCTCCAGGACCAATCGCCGCATCTTCTTTGTCATCCTTCTGTTCCTGCTTTGCTACCTCTGCGGGGTTTGAATCCCTGTAAGTACTCAGAGGTGAGGTCTGGAGTCTAGACACAGCGTTGCAGTACGGTCGTTGCCTTTTCTCTGCTCACTCAAAGTTAGGTGAAACGGCTCCTCAAGCTTGCGCTTGAGCCAAAATAAACGTTAACAGAACTAACACTCACACACAACACTAAGCCAAGCAGCTCACTGCGACTGCTGCGAAGCAACTAACTACGGAAGCTAGGCCTTCAGTGGCTTTCAACCTTCACAGCGGGGGGCTGGGGAACGCCGCCAGACGGCTGACCATAGAAAAATATGCACTCGTACATGCTGTCTGTTTGTCCGTCTGTTTGTCTCGATCCGAACCGAACGACAGTTCCGAAACACTGCCGTTGCAAGCGAGTGCTTGTTTTCAGCAAAAGGCGCTGACATGCCCCGGCCCAAGATTCCTTAAGCAACTTGGTCGATCGAAAGTGTAATTGACCTTGCCAGGCTTGTCCGAGTGTGAGTGTCAAAAACTGACTATGGACCGAAAGATTTTGTTTCTTCCTTCCGCCCAGCTGAAAGCTTGTTGACAACCGAGGTGTGGCCAATTTCCGCGATGTGGCCGATTCGAGCCCCTGTAGCCATCCTATTCGGTGCCGTAACGGCAAGGTGCTTCGAAGGGGAATGCTGCTTGACAGCCGCCGGCAAGTCTTCAATTGTCGCAGGGCTGGACGGGGTGTTCCTCCCAGGCTCTTCCGCTCAGGGCATTTTGCCGCCGCCACGAAGGAAGATCTGGTGCCTGGGCAGCTTGTTTCGATTTTCGTTTGGAATTGCCTCTGAGCCCAGGCCGTGCTGCAAGCACTGCAGCTTCGGACTTACGTCGACCTGCGCGAGGGCCGGGACTTTGAGGGAGCAGATGCAGAGGTGCATCACGTCCTCTTCCCGCCCAGCCCAAGCACAATGGAAAGAGGCGCGCTGACAAGGGAGAGAACGGCAGACAGCAGCTACGGAGACAGCAATAGAGTCAAGCAGGGCGACCATGTTGGCGCATGTCTCGTTTATTGTAAATTGCTCGCAAATCAGCACAAGCGGCAGCGAAGCCCGTTTGGCCGGGAAGCTCATTGCTGCCACGTGGTCGCCTGTGACACTCTGCAAACGCCTCCCTCATTCGTTTGCTGTCTCCTAGCCGGCGCTGTGTCGGCCTAGGAGAGTGCATGACCGTCAATGAGAAATCAAATGCTTCGTGGAGACCTCATCCAAGACACTGCTGCCATGCTTAAACTCTCCCCACGACATCAAGTGCCTACGATCCGTGAAATCCAGTTGCATTACCTCTTTCGGAGTGTGTTCCTGCTTCTGGAGGAGTTTCAGGTAGACAATCGAGGTTGCCCTTGGGCGTCACCTGACAGGTGCACCGCCAGCAGTGCCTCCTGGGGGCCGCCGGTTGTGGTGCCCCGTGACAAAGGACGCTTCCTGAAAGATTCCATGACGTCGCGTGATTACTCTTTGACACTCGCCGCTGCTTTCAAGTTTGTTTCGCGCTCCGGTGGGACTCGCTTTGCAGCTCCAGCAGAAAAAGGACATGCCTCCTTGGTTTGCCAGAGTGCTATCTCAGTCGCAGAGGACTTGCGCTTGCGTGGCTGGACTGCTGATGAGAAGGTTGGGACTGTCCCCGAGTCCGACCGCAAGGTGTGGGGAGGGATGGTGGTCTTTATTCAGAGTGCTGTCCAATGATAATGTCAAATTGGTACGGCATGTACTGTCGTTGTGTTGTGAAGGGTGACTCGTTTTGAGAGAGAGTTTGCACTTCAGGTTGAGGAGACTTGTGACAGGGCAGAGACTTGGTCTTTTCCGATACAAGTGCAGCATCCTTGTGCTCTGTTTTTGCCGAAGCACGGGCTGCTAGCCTTGCATTGAAACAACTCTCCGCGGCGACCGGGGTCGGTCTGCGGTCAAAGACCAGTGAAACGGGAGGGCCCATTAAACCAATTCTCAGTTTCTCCCACTTTCAGTCCATAGTTGTCCCTGGTTGATTTGCCGAGTGACATGCCCCACGCTACTGCAAGTCGGCAGTGCAACAACGTTTAGGCCATTGTCTGTTCATTTCTACTTGGCTGAGTTTGGGTTTTCATGTTTCATACTGCGAAATCCTGGCTTCCGGTTGTGCAGTGTCGCCATCTGCTTTTTGATGTCCACCGCTGTCTAGAGCCTGCTAGAGTCGCAACAGCTTGTTGAGGTCAGCCTTTGCTTGGCAATAGCTCGTGCAAGGGTCGGAATGAGCTTGCCAATCCTCACACCTGAGCTGAGAAGAATGCGTTTTCCAGCAGGTTCTTGCATGCGTTTTTTGGGCACCCTTCACCCTTCCCAGGCAAACAACGAGGCTTTCCAACTCACTCTTTGCTTCCTGCATTCTTGAATTCTTCTTTCCTTGCTATGTCCTTGATGTCTTTGCCATCCTGCTGTTGAACTGTGCAGCGAAACATAGGCCATGTAGCAGAGCAACAGTGCTGATGGCGTTTTCAATCAAAGCTGTTATCTGTTTGCTTTTAAATTGGGCTCACTCACTACTCTACCGGTCGAGTTTTTCCAACGGCTCCAACAATAATCACCACATTCGCAGGGAGCTGTGAACAGGATCCAGTCATCCATCTCAGCTCAAGTCACTGAGATTGGTTTTCGATTTGAGGGGAGGGATGCAGAAACCAGTGAAGAGGACTGGTGACTAGTGGTGGGGCGCGAGCGGGCAAGAATCATGGGCTGCGGGCTGCTTCTCTCCGGTTAGGCCTGGACTTCTTGGTGGTTCCAGCGGCTTACACGATGCTTGGCTGTCACTTCTCTCCGCTCCTGCGCACAGGCAGACACGCAAGCCCACGAGCGCACAAACAATCACAAACCCACACACACACAGAGACAGAAACAAAGAACATAGCACAAACAAAGAAGCAAGCGAACAACCACGCAAACAAGCAACAATTATCCAACCTAAACAATGCCATAATTATAACCGACCAAAGCAAAGCAAAACGCGACAGATCAAACAAGCAGGCGATCAAACACGAGCGCCCAGGCCCCAAGCTGCATTGACGCTTTGTACAGTGCAGGTATGTCGACTTTGGCGTCCCCAGTCGATATCACAGGAAAGGAGAAAGGTTTTCGTTGGTGCCAGCCTTCTGCAATCCCGTGGTGCCCCCTGCAATTCAGATCGGTCTAACTCAATCAAGAAATGCGTATATCCTTGGTCATAGCAGTGTAACACCCACACACACATATACACACGCACACACATACACCCCTCCCGAAGGAGGTCGAAGTCGGAACTGTCAACCTTTACGCTCAATCTCATTCAATCTCAGTCGGAGCTGTCAACATGAAAAGGTTGCGCAGGAGAAAGTGCATCATTGAGATTCACTTGGCTCTGCTGTTTAAAAGCTGCAAGGTCAGGCAGTAAATCTGAAAGCACTTTCTGAATCTTCCGTTGCCCATCAGAAAGCTCAGCAACGGCCTCCATCATTTTCGTGAGCTTCTGATCCGTGTCATGAAGTTGCGTGCAGCAGGCGTAACTCTTCCCTGATCTTCAAAACATTTGCTTGGTTAGCAGATCCATCTCGGCAACGCTGCAAACAGATGTGCTGCCGAATTGAGCCCTGCATGCGACATTGCGAAAGGCCGAAGTTTCTGGAGCTGGACAGAAGATGTACTACAGAGTCACCGCCAAACAGCTCACAATTGATCTCAAAAGGAAAGCCACGACAGCAGGGCTACCTTGTAGGGCAAGGCTCAATCAGATTGAGTCTGGCATGGGGCTTCGGATTTTTACCATCTGAAGGTGAGATATCAAACTGGCACAGATGCGCAAGCGATCCTCTTCTTGTCTATGCAACCAGTCACAAGCAACAAGAAGTTGCTGCGACAGCAGCAAAAGATTCGAAGTTCAAGAAGGCACATCTTTTCATGTTTCGCGGAACTGCAAGCACGGACCCTTTGCAGGTTGATCCAGTCGACGATACCCAACACTTGCAGGTGTGATCTCGTGAAGCCGATCCCGAAGCCATCTTGTAACCCGCTCATACGCAAGAAATGTTGGAGAATCCTTCAAGCTTTGCTCGCACACCAGGAGTCATGTCACGTTTATATCCAGGAACTGTGGAGAAGCAAAAGAAAACCATGTAGTGTCTTTCAGTGAGGAAGGAAGTCACTCGTTCCATAACATTGGGCAGCTCTAGCGTGGGATACATGACTCTCATCTAGTGTTCGAAAGATGCTGTGGACTTGATTGCGCAGCCAACCAAACAAACTGCGATCGCAAACTGGAACAGTTGCAACATGTTGCAACGACTGCATCTCCGAGCAGTCTAGTGTTTTACCCGTCAGCATACTTCAGAACGGGTTTCGCATGGGTGAAATCTAACGGGTGCACACTGCGCAGGTCCTGAACTGACGAGTCGTGCAGAAAGTTCATTCCATTTGAGTCAGGCGAAAACTGTTTCGATAGTACCAGTTCTTGGTCAAGGCCCCAAATCTGCTCGGATAAACGGTGATTGAATTGCGATCCGCTGCCTCGTCGCTCCAAGCGGTGACCTGCAATTCCATAGTCTCATTGGCCAGCAAACCTGGTACATTCCAGACTTTCAAGGTGAATTTGCTGGGCACATCGAATCCTGCTGTATCAACAGGGTGTTTCATGGCTCCGGTCCCAATGTTGACTAAACAGAGCCATCCGAGGTGTACTGAAGGGGGTCAGCAAGCACCTTCGACGCTTCCACCTCTGCATCAGCAGGGTCCTTGTCTTCCAAGAAGTACTTTGTCATGGACACCACCGTCACCTGAACCATCACCTCACCGTCGTCACCTCGAGGTACTTCGTCTTTGTCCAGAATCCAATCACCTCCATTCGGTCTGGCCACCATCGGTCTTGGTGCCCAGCAACTTTGGGAAACAATAGCACCCGACCAAGAGGTACTTGAAGCCCCCAAGGCCCGTAGCTCTGAACGGGCCGGCCGTGTCGATGGACAGGACGTAAGCAGTGGGGTGGGAAATCTTCTTATGCGGTCTTCCCGTCGATCGCTCCACACAGATTCGACCGTCTCTTCGATACAGAAGATGATCACGTTGAAGATGTAGCCGCAATGTAGCCGTTGAAGATGTATCGTTTGCGTCGAATTTCGCGAGATGCTCTCTCCCTCCCTCTCCCTCTCTCCCTCCCTCTCCCTCTCTCCCTCTCTCTCTCTCTCTCTCTCCCTCTCCCTCCCTCGCTCGCTCGCTCGCTCTCCGCTCGCTCTCTCTCTCTCTCTCTCTCTCTCTCTCTCTCTCTCTCTCTCTCTCTCTCTCTCTCCCTCGCTCTCTCTCTCTCTCTCTCTCTCTGTCTCTGTCTCTGTCTCTGTCTCTGTCTCTCTCTTTCTCGAGGAGCTTCTGCGACTATGGTCGATCCGAGATCATGGTGTCCGAGTCGATCCTCATTGGGTCCTCGGTTTTTTTCGTGAAGGCGATGTAGGTTGCGATACTCTAGCCTGGAACTCTGCTGGAAGTTATTCAACACCCGCTCTGCCCTGTCAACAATTTCGGCTCGTCTAACAAACGCCACATGACATGGATGCCGCCGGGGCCGTCAAGCTGGTGAGTCGGACCTGGTCCAATAAGTCCCTCGCTTCTGTCTTGGTGGAAAGACACAATCGTGAGCTGGGTCGGTCGAGGCGGTACGGCCTGCACTGCATTCTTCCGTTTCAGGTACTTCTGACGATTGTTCGCGAACTCCTCGAGACGCACCGATCATAGCTCTCCCTGCCTCGGCGGCGAAGAAGAGACTCATTCCCCAGAGCAGTATGGAGCGATTGTCAACAGCTTGTTACAATATCGCATCATCGTATCGAGTTGTATCACATCCTCGGACTTTTGCCCTGAAATACGTGGCGCTTTGCAGAGTGCATAAGCGCAGACAGCGCTGGGCTAGCTGGTCGGTGCAATTAGTACAGTTTGCATAATCCCGATCCTCGCGGAGATCCAATCAGAGTGAAGCCGCCAAGTGTATGCACAACTCTAAGCCTGCGCCGAAGATCTTTGGTGGTCCTTCTGGGCCAATTTCCACACATCGGTCTCGCCCAAGATCACGATCCCAATCTACTAATCTGAGCTAGAGGGACGCGACGCATGCTCTTGCGAGTCGTTTTGCGTGTCAAAGCATTGGAGAAACTCTGTTAGATGACCCTTTGGTTCACCTTTCTGAGCAGAGCGCTACTGCGTAGGTTTCGGGTGCGATGATCGCAACGGCTACATCTACAGGGACCTCGCCGGGCCCAAAGGGTGGAACGGTTCCATCGCCTCCGGCTCCTTCATCCTCCTCGGCGTCTACTAGCTCGGCTGGTCAGAATGCAAATAAGATTGACGCTTGAGTGAGACGAACAAAATGTTGAAGGCTGTGACACAGAACCAGGCGGCGGAGCAGTCAACACCCTCGCCGCCCCAGGACCCTTTGGTGTTGATTCAGCAGCAGCTCGATGAGGTGAGGCGCACCTAACGTGATTCAAGCGCGGGAGTCCTCTGCGTTTGCGTTTGCCAGAGCAGTTGCATCGTATGAGGCGAGGTTAAGCTCAGCTACAGCCCCGAAGTCTGCGAGTGCAAGCGAGCGCGTACAGGCTGATTCGGGTCGCCCCCCCCCACAGAACGACTGTATAGATGCCCTTCAGCTGGGACACCGGGACTACGGACCAATGTCCTCGTATAGACGTACTTGTAGCCGGCCGTGTACAGGGTGTACCACAGTGAGCTTTGATCCGTGCGTCCGAACAATGTACCGCCGCTGGTCTGACTGAGGTGTTGCGCTCCTCTCCAGTCGCGAGAGTCACCGTCGCAGTCCTTGCAGAGGCAGCGTTCTGAGGCACCGGACCTCAATGGCGAGGTTTTTACATGTTTTGCCTAAACCATGCCCCCGGCCGTTTCGACTGGGATGAAGGAGGGCTGTGCGGGAGACTTTCGCTCTAAGGAAGCCAAGTAGCAACAGTCTATGAGGAGGGCTATGTGGAGTAGCTCTCTGGTGGGAAGAGATGTGATAGTGGATGTCGACATTACGATTGTTGGAACAAGGTGCTGTTTTCCGAATTTGGCTTGGCCAGCACTGAAAGGAAAAATCAAGGCAGCGGTCAGACGCCTTTCCGGTGATGGCCGAGAGTACCGGCCCCTCCAAAACTCAAGGAGATGAAGGTGATGGTGCGATTGTTGTCTCTTTGGCAGATGGTGGAACTGGGGCGCAAGGTGGCATGGAGGAGTGGCTCACTGAAGAACGTACATGCCGCTGAAGCCGCATGTTTCGCTAGTGGAGCATCCAGCGGCGGAGGAGGGCCGCAGATCTGTCTTCGAGCACCCCATGTTGAAGTCGCTTACCCAAGAGGAGCTCATGAGCGAAGCAGGTCGGCCAAACACTATCCTGGGAGGAAATCTGGGTTTGTGGCACCTCGAAGGCGCATGGGCAAGTTGTTGCCGGGTCCCATGGAGCTCGGTGTGGCCAATGGAGTTGGTGGCTCACGTGGCCGCGGGCCGGGGCGCTAAGGTCCTGGAGCCGTGAAGGAGTGCTGGCTTCGTTGGCCCCACGGATGGTGACGGAGCGGAGAATAGAAAGTCTTGCAGCTGGTGGCAGAGCAGTTGAGCGAGTTGAGTTCTTCTAGTCTTGTATATTGAGGCTGCTGATCAGAAGAGCGCCGCGGGCCAGGCCACAAACACCACATCTGACATAAGAACTCGATCAAGACCAAGATTTGATGTATTTGGCTTGTTGGCTTATGTTTCATATTACATCGGGACAATTACGCAGGGCAAGTTTGGATAG